GAGCCCAGCAAGTCAAGGCTGCGGTGGCCGGGAGCGGCCACTGTACTCCAGTCTGGGCGACAGAGTGAGACTCCAACTCAAAAAAATATATATATATTGTTTGTGAGAGTAAAAAAAATAGCCATTTCCCTACCCTATTTGTTGATAAGGTACTGAATGTATAAGATGTACCCGAATTTTACAATGAAATTTTTAAATGATACATTGTCATTATTATCTAAAATTATTGCATTAATCTTTAAAATTTATTTATTTTTATTTTTATTTTTTTGAGTAGGAGTCTCACTCTGTCGCCCAGGCTAGAAGGACAGTGGCACACTCACAGCCACTGCAGCCTTGACCTGCTGGGCTCAGGTGATCCTCACTTCTATCACCACGTACGATCATACCCGGCTAATTTTTCTTGATTAATTGTAGAGATGAAGTCTTGCCAAGGTGCCCAGACTGGTCTCGAACCCCTGGGTTCAGGCAATCCTCTCACCTCCGCCTCCCAAAGTGCTGGGATTATAAGCGTGAGCCACCACGCCTGGCCTCATTTTATTTTTACTAAACATCTTCGGCCGGGCGCGGTAGTTCAAGTCTATAATTCCAGCACTTTGGGAGGCCGAAGCTACTTGGAAGGCTGAGATAGAAGTATTGCCTGAGCCCAGCAGGTCAACACTGGGGTAGCCGTAAGCGTGCCACTGCACTCCAGCCTGGGCGACAGAATGAGACTATGACTCAAAAAAAAAAATTTTTTTTTCAAAAAATATTTTATAAATAGAGGCAGGGTCTCACTATGTTGGCCAGACTGGTTTTGAATTCCTGGTCTCAAGTAATTCCTGGCTTGGCTCCACAAAGTGCTGAGATTTGCAGGCATGAGACACCACACTCAGTCAAAAATTATTTCAAATGAATTTTTTTTGAGAAACTAGTTTTGTTTCTCTAAAGCAGAATATTGTATCATAGAATATCAACATTCTAAATATGTGGAAGACTGAGGCAGAAGGATTGCCTGGGCCCAGCAGGTCGAGGCTGCCATGGCCATGAACATGCTACTGTACTCCAGCCTGGGAAACAGTGAGACCCCAATTTTTAAAAAAATTCTACTTGGAAGGCCGAGGTGGAAGGATCGCCGGAGCCCAGCAGGTCGAGGCTGCGGTGGCTGGGAGCGGCCACTGCACGCCAGTCTGGGCGACCAAGTGAGACTCCGACTCAAAAAAAAAAAAAAAAATTCTAAATATTCAGTAATAGTCTTATCTGGAAAGGAATAATGCATAAAATACAGATAAATCAATATATTGTATTACTAAATATTAGTACTGAATATTGAGCTACAGTCACACAAACATTCAAGTATGTTCTAAGAAATGGTATCATTAGGCAATTTTGTCATTGTGCAAACATCACAGGATATATTTACACACACACCTAGATGGTATAACCAACTACACACCTAGGCTTACATGGTCTAGCCTATTGTTTCTGGGCTACAAACCTGAAGCATGTGACTATACCAAATATTGTCGGCAACAGTAACACAATGGGAAATATATTTGCATGTCTTATTTATTGGTTTGTTTATTTATTTAAGTCGGAGTCTCACTATTGCCCAGGCTGGAGTGCAGTGGCACGCTCAGAGCCACCACAGCCTCGACCTGCTGAGCTTAGGCGATTCTTCCACCTCAGCCTTCCAAGTAGCTGGAACCACAGGCATGTGCCACTAAGTCTGGCTAATTTTTTGATTTATTGTAGAGACGAGGTCTCGCCATGTTGCCCTGGCTGATCTCGCATCCCTGAACTCAGGCAATCCTCTGGCCTCTGCCTCCCAAAGTGCTGGGATTACAGGTATGATCCCCCACGCCCGGCATAATGCTTAGCTTAGAACACAGACACATTGTACAGAGCTGCACAAAAATATTGTCTTCATATCCTTAGTCTATAAGTGCTTTCCTATGTTTATTTTTACTTTTTGAAATTTTTTTTTCTTTGTGAGTCGGAGTCTCACTGTCGCCTAGGCTGGAGTGCAGTGGCACGCTCACGGCCACTGCAGCCTTGACCTGCTGGGCTCAGGCCATCCTTCTGCCTCAGCCTTCCAAGTAGCCGGACCTACAGGCGTGCGCCACCATGCTGTCTAATTTTTTTATTGTATGGTAGAGAAGGTCTCACTAAGTTGCCCAGGCTGGTCTGAAACCCCTGGGCTCAGGCAATCCTCTTGCCTCGGCATCCCAAAGTGCTCGGATGACAAGGGAGAGCCATCATGCCTGGCAAAAAAGATGACAATCAAGACTGACTTGATCACTGGATGAGAGGCAGAAGAGTTTTGTTTAAGGCTGTGACTTTAAGTTATGATGTGTTTTCGGTAAGTCCCTTTTATTTCTCAATTCATAAACTCAAGATAATGTTATGCAAAAGATAATCTTTGAAAAATGTTTGAGGCTTTTAATGAGTGATAAATGATGCAAGAGTATTACTCCCCAGAGACTGTTGAAAGCAGTTTGGAAATTCACTATTCCACTTCCTCACGGGGAGCATGGAATTTGTCCATGAACTTTTGAGCTGCTGATGGATCTGGGGACACATGGTATATGAAGCTAGTTCAGAAGTCATAAAACGGGCTGCCACTTTTGTTCTCATGAGCCACTCTCTGTTAAGCCAAAGAAATCCTGTCAACTGAACAGCACAACCCACACAAATCCTCTCCAAATTTCCTGTCTAATTACTTTGATATATAAATGGCTGTGTTCCTAAAAAGATGAAAACTCTAATAGTACCATCTTATTTCACAGCAATGAAAAATATTGTGCCCACGACAATGAAAAATATTGTGGTCACGAATAATGTTAAAGTGATGTGAAAGCATTTGTGGCGTTTCCATGGTTTTTTTTTTTTTTTTTTTTGAGTTGGAGTCTCATTCTGTCACCTAGGCTGGAGGGCAGTGGCACGCTCCCGGCTACCCGAGCCTCGACCTGCTGGGCTCAGATGATCCTTTGGCCTCGGTCTTCCAAGTAGCTGGAACTACAGGCGCGCACCACCATGCCTGGCTAATTTTTTGATTTATTGTAAAGATGAGGTCTCGCCCAGTTGCCCAGGCGGGTCTCAAACCCATGGGCTCAGGCAATCCTCTCACCTCGGCCTCCCAAAGAGCTGAAATTATAGTGGCCTCCTTGTTTGTTTTTGAGTAGAAGTCACTCTGTCAGCAAGGCTGGATGGAGTGCAGTGTCACACTCACGGCCACCGCAACCTCGACCTGCTGGGCTCAGGTGATCCTTGCAAGTAGCTGGAACTACAGGTGCACACCACCACGCTCAGCTAATTTTTTGATGTATTATAGAGACAAGGTCTCGCCATGTTGCCCTGATTGATCTTGAACTCCTGAACTCAGGCAATCCTCTGGCCTCCACCTCCCAAGGTGCTGGGAATTTAGACGTGAGCCACTGCACCCAGCATTATTTTTTAAGTAATTGTACAGTCGCAGAGTTAGCATTTTAACTTAAAACTTTGGTATTAATTTCCCTATTCCCTTATATTTGCATTCTGTTTTGCTTTTCTTTCTTTCTTTTTTTTTGAGTTGAAGTCTGGCTCTGTCGCCCAGTCTGGAGAACAGTGGCATGCTCATGGCCACCGCAGCCTCAACCTGCTGGGCTCAAGCGATCCTTCTGCCTCACCCTTCCAAGTAGCTAGAACTACAGGCACGTACCACCTCATCTGCCTAATTTTTTGATTAATTGTAGAGATGGGGGTCTCGCCAAGTTGCCCAGGCTGTTCTCGAACCCGTGGGCTCCGCCAATCCCTCACCTCGGCCTCCCAAAGTGCTGGGATTACAGGCTTGAACCACCGCACCCAGCCTCATAATGCATTTCTAACAGGGCAAGTGAAGAAAAACCAGCCCTTGTGCAGCTCTTCAGTCTGTAGTTACTCAACAAACTCTTTCTGAGAATGCTGTCTGTACAGCCATGGAGTTCTGATGTCCTTTCCCTCCACTGCAGGCAGGAAGAAACTCCGACTCTTTGAATACCTACACGAATCCCTGTGTAATCCCGAGATGGAATCTTGTATTCAGTGGGTAGATAAAACCAAAGGCATCTTTCAATTTGTATCAAAAAACAAAGAAAAGCTTGCTGAACTCTGGGGAAAAAGAAAAGGCAACCGGAAGACCATGACTTACCAGAAAATGGCCAGGGCACTGAGGAATTATGGAAGAACTGGAGAAATTACCAAAATCCGGAGGAAGCTGACATATCAGTTCAGTGAGGCCACGCTCCAAAGACTCTCCCCGTCTCACTTCTTGGGGAAAGAGATCCTCTACTCACAATATGTTCAGCCTGATCAAGAATATCTCAGTAACTGGAATGCAAATTATAGCTATGCCTATACCAACTACCACGAGCTAAGTCACCCTGATTGCTAAATATACGCTCACAGTTCCGTGGTTTCCTGGCATCAAAAATCCCTACAAGCTTCAGAATTCTCTCTCTTTCTTTCTCTTTTCCTCCTCAACTCTGAAGGAACTCAGGATTGTTCTCTTAAAGCAAATACTAAAGAAAAAAAACACACAATTTACTTTGTTGTTGCTGTCTTTTATCAAATAACATATCATCTATATTAACTTGGTGGGAAATTCTATCAAAGAAAACTTTTTTTTTTAACTATAACCATATTTTTTTTTTATTTTAAATGTGGGGTACATTTCAGGGTTGGGTATACAAATATTCACTGTGCAGGTATTGTTGATGAGGTGTACCCCCCTTTCCCAGGCAGATTTCCACTACTGTCAATCCCACCTCCCACCACCCCGGCTCTGCAGTTTCCCGCTACTGACAATCCTTTTCTTTTTTTTTTTTTTTTTTTGAGTTGGAGTCTCACTCTGTCACCCAGACTGGAGTGCAGTGGCCGCTCCCGGCCACCACAGCCTCGACCTGCTGGGCTTGGGCGATTCTTCCGCCTCAGCCTTCTAAGTAGCTGGATCTACAGGCGCGCGCTATCACTCCCAGCTAATTTTTTTTTTTTTAATTGTAGAGATGAGGTCTCACCAAGTTGCCCAAGTCAATCCTTTTCTTATAGTATTACAATGGTTGTTCAAGGTCTGCTTATGAATGAGAGCATGTGATACTCAGTCCTTTGTTTCTGTGAAAGATCACTCAGTATTATAGACTCTGAGTCCATCCAGGTTGCTGCGAAGAATAAACAACTTTTTTTAAAACGCCCTATGAAGACTCAGTGAGCAAACTTTATTATCTCAAATGATCAAGCCCTGTTTGCAAGTATAGACTAAATGTCCCTGCTCTGACTATTCTCTCTTAAATTTTTTTGATATTATTATACATTTTTTTGAAAGCAGATCTCTGCCAAGATAATTTTTTACATAGTTTTATTTTACTTTTTTTGAGTCGGAGTCTCCCTCTGTTGCCCAAGTTGGAGGGCAGTGGCACGCTCACAGCCACTGCAGCCTCACCCTGCCAGGCTCAGAGGATCCTGCCCCAGCATGCAAGTAGCTGGAACTACAGGCGCACGCCACCAAGCCCAGCTAACTTTTTGATTTATTGTAGAGATGAAGTCTCGCCAGTTGCCCAGGCCAGTCTGGAATCCCTGGACTCAGGAAGTCCTCCTGTCTTCACTTCCCAAAGTGCTGGAATTACAGGCGTGAGCCACCATGGCAATTTTTTTCTTTTTAATGATTTAGGGGTAACAAGTACAGTCGTGTTCCATGGAGATATTCTGCAGCGGGTAAGTTTGGGCTTTTAGTGTCCTCATCACCAGAACAGTGAACATTGTACCCAATGGGTGGTAATTCATCTCTCACTCACCCCTACCCTCCCACCTTTTGGAGTCTCCAGTGTCTATTATTCCAGTTTGCCTGTCCGTGTGTACTCATTATTTAGCTCCCAACTGTTTCCCCCCTCCTTCTTCTTTTCTTCTTCCTTTATTTTTTTTTTTTGAGTTGGAGTCTCACTCTGTCGCCCAGACTGGAGTGCAGTGGCCGCAGCCTCGACCTGCTGGGCTCCGGCGATCCTTCCGCCTCAGCCTTCCAAGTAGCCAGAACAACAGGTGCGTGCTACCACACCCAACTGATTTTTGATTTATTGTAGAGATGAGGAACTGATTTTTGATTTATTGTAGAGATGAGGTCTCGCCAAGTTGCCCAGGCGAGTCTCGAACCCGCGGGCTCAGGCAATCCACTCACCTCAGCCTCCCAAGGCGCGGGATTACAGGCTGAGCCACCGAGCCCGGCTTTCTTCCTTTTTTTTTAAGAGACAAAGTCTACCACTGAAGTTCTTTTTTTTTTTTCCTAGAGACGGAGTCTTGCTATGTTGCCCAGGCAGTCTTGAACTCCTGGGCTCTCAAAGTACTAAGATTACAGATATGAGTCACCATGCCCAGCCTTTTTTTTTTTTTTCCCCCATTTCAATAAACTGGTCTAAACTCTTAGGATTCATGCAACCATTTTCTTCTAGGTTAAGAGTGCCAATACAGATAATTTGATTTATAGATTGATTTAAACATTTTCCTATCATATATCCACGGGGGAAAAATCACTCTAACATATATATGATGGCATTACAAAAAAATGATTGTGCCAAATTATGTCCATGGCTTTTCTTCTTTTGTTTTTTAAGCATATATCTCAGCAGAAACATTCTTGGCTTTAAAAATTTCAATGAAAATGTCTATTCGGGTCCTTATTTTTTTCTTCTCCCCTCTTTTGATTTTACCCATTTTTTATTTTTATTTTTATTTATTTATTTATTTATTTTGAGTCAGAGTCTCACTCTGTGGCCCAGGCTGAAGTGCAGTGGCACACTCACAGCCACTGCAGCCTCTACTTGCTGGGTTTAGGCAGTCCTTCCACCTCAGCCTTCCAAGTAGCTGGAACCACAGGCATGTACCATCACACCCAGCTAATTTTTTTATTTATTGTAGAGACGAGGCCTCACCAAGTTGCCCAGGCTGGTCTCAAACCCCTGGACTCAGGCAATCCTCTTGCCTCTG